TAAAAAATGACACTTATAATATGACACTTCCTTGTGTCTTTAACTGTTTAGGTAATTTGAAATGAAAATCATATACTTTGTAATATAACAATTTAGAAATTATTCTCTATAAAGTTTTTTTCCGTTTTGTTAATTACTCTCTATTTCAAATTATTTGACCAAATCGAATACATATATCGGTTCGAAAAGCTGAACCCGTCTGGTTTATAAAGCGAACGTTGTTTAAACGCCGTCAAATACAATAAAACGCCGTCAAAATTACAAAAATAAAAAAAGCGCATTAGAGCATGATCAATGCATGTTGCTTAGCTCGGTTCTTAAATATAAAATTATTAAAACACACACTCTCTCTTTCTTTTACTCAACTTTTTACTTTCTCTTTCATCATTTTACTCAACTTTTATTAATTTTATATTTAAACACTCTCTCATCATTTTAAAAACACTCTCCAAAATTTCTTATTTAAGCAACTCTATCTTTCTTTTACTCAACTTTTATTAATTTTATATTTAAACACTCTCTCATCATTTTAAAAACACTCTCCAAAAGTTCTTATTTAAGCAACTCTATCTTTCTTTTACTCAACTTTTATTAATTTTATATTTAAACACACCCACTATCTCCTCTTTTACTCAAATTTTATATTTCAATACACCCCACAAAAACACTCTCTTTCTACCTTTTACTCAAAATTTAATAATTTTATATTTTAAGAACTCTTTAAGCACCCTCATTGATCATGCTCTTATAATCATAAACCTTTTTTTTTCTTCGCTTAACGCCCCTAATTTCGTAACGCAACTCAACCAGTGTTAATGTAATCTTTGCGCCTTCCTATTTTTCCATTCTCAACGAATTGCAAAAGCCATCTTCTGTTTTTTGGATTGAGAAGGCAATTTTACTTCGGTAGCTAATCCGAGAGCCTCGAAGAATCGAATGAAATACCAAGTGGGATCGATCTGCCACCATTCAAGACCGTGCCTAGCCGACGACTCAAACGCGTGGTGGTTGTTGTGCCAATTCTCTCCCATCGTATATATGCTTAGCCACCTTCATCAATTTCACAACAAATCAATTCGCTTTTCTAAATACTAAACAAGTTATATGAATTGTGAGTAGAAACAAGAAAATTCGATACAAAATTGATAAGAAATTGAAAAGGAATAAATCCCCATATATATGGAAACTATAAAATGTAATAAAGTATATATTAATTTAATTTAATAGTGAAAAGTATTTATGTTAAAGTAAATTTTAAAAATAAAAAAATTCACAAACAAGTCATTTTTTAAAAAACTGCCTAATTTGAATATTCATTCACATGA